ATAGCATCCAAGAAAGTGAGGGTCTAGTCAACGAAGCCTTATGCCGCAGTAAGTCTGCTAGCCTTGAAATCTGCCAGTCTACCACAGGATTCCTTTTTGGCTTTTGCTGGAGCAAGCTTAACACGTCTATCCCTCTGAAAGGTACTCCAGGGGTTGCCAAACCTTTTTGGGCCACTGAGCAGATATAGAATTTAGAGAAAGTGTTGCGAGCATAGCACAAAATGGCTGCCATGGGGCATGACAAACACAAAATGGCTGCTGTGGGGTGTGGCGTGTTGACATTCCTAAAAGAGCAGCAAAAGAGAGAGGGAAACCAAGTCTCTTTGGCTTGCTGATCAGAAGGTCGGTGGTTTGAATCGCTGCGATGGGGTGAGCTCCTGTTGCTCTGCCCCAGCTGCTGCCAACCTAGCAGTTCAAAAGCATGTAGCTAAATAACAAGTAGATAAATAGGTACCACTGCAGTGGGAAGGTAAACAGTGTTTCTGTGTGCTCTGGTTTCTGTCACGGTGTTCTGTTGCGTCAGAAGCAGTATAGTCATGTTGCCACATGACCTGGAAAGCTGTCTGTGGACAAACGCCGGCTCCCTCGGCCTGAAAGCGAGATGAGCGCCGCACCCCATAGTCGCCTTTGACTGGACTCAACCATCCAGGGGTCCTTTACCTTTTTTAAAAATGCCTCTATAGTTTCTGGGAATTGCAAATGGGGAGAGTCCTGTTGCTTGCGAGCTTCCCATAGTATCTGATTAGCCAGAGGGGACAGGATCCTGGACTCGATGGGCCTCTGGCCTGTTCGAGCAAAGCTCTTCTCATGTTAGCTAATCTCACCCAACTTATTTCGGCTGTTCTCAACTTTCTGAAGGTGCCTTGTCAGTTTAAGACCCTCCAAATTAACTTTCACTTAGTTGCTGGCAGCTCCAGGTTTGCGCATGATCTCCTGCAGCTGTCTGCATGCGGAGGGGAGCCCAACCCACGCCGTGTCCTCGGATCTGACAATCTTTGTGCTCTACCTTTGATTTTATGCCAATTAAGTTTTTGCTTTAAGTAAAAGAGTAAGAAAAACCAAGCTTGCTATTCTGGGAGGAGAGAGAGTGTTATGCATGGAAAACTTTCATAGCTTTTGATCTATGTAGGCACAGCCTTATTCACAGTGGCAGGTCATGGATGTAGAGAAAGGAGGTGAACAATTTGCTTTTGTTGCAAACCATCAAGTTGGTTCGCATGTGCATGTTCACCATTAGCTTAGAACTGATTGGATGATACATTTCCCCTTATCTAGCCCAACACATGGTGAGGAAAGAGCAGGCATGTTGTAATGTAAGAACATAAGGGGTGTTTGCAGGATCAGGCCAATGGAACAGATGTGTGGAACAGGTCTCGGTGTTTCGATTTCTGGGAATGGAGTTGAGAGATGACCTAACCTGGGGAGAAAACAGCAAAGACCTGATGAAGAAAGCACAGCAGAGGCTGTATTTTTTGAGAATCCTCCAGAAAAACAATCTCTCAAAGGACCTGTTGATGGCATTTTACCATTGTACTGTTGAGAGTGTATTAACTTATGGTCTGTGTGTGTGGTTTGGGAGCTGCACGGTCAGGGAAAAAACAATGCTGTCCAGGGTTGTAAAGACTGCGGAGAGAATAATTGGGTGCACTCTTCCCACCTTGGATCAAATCTATGCCTCCAGGTGTCATAAGAAAGCTGCAGAGATAGCGCAGGACAAAGCGCACTCCGGAAATGATCTCTTCCAGCTTCTGCCTTCTGAAAGAAGGTACAGGGTTATAAAGACTAGGACTAGCTGCCTGAGAAACAGTTTCTATCCAAATGCGATTTTAGTTTTAAACAAAGTGTAAGGTAGTCTCTATGGGAGTATATTTGCCCTTTTTTCAGTAAAGGCAGTTATGGGGAGAATGCATTGCAAAATGTGGGAAAACACTGGGCTGATGCCGCATCATATAACCTCTCTGCAAGCAAATCAGGATGAATGCTCAATAAACAGATCTTCTGGAAGTAGGGATGGAAGGATCTGCCAGTTTTGCTTCTCTTACTTTCTCATTTCCCCCGATCGTAAATTCAGTTATTAACATCATCATTTTATTTGCGCTTGCACTTAAACAGTTTCATAAATACAATACATGAATACAACTGAAAAACACATAATTATAATACTAAATTATAAATTGCAATGTGAAACAGTAGTTATGGATTCATGTGCGTGTGTGCACGCGCACATACACACAACACACACAACACACACACACACACACACACACACAGAATATAACATTTCTGCAACAATCTGCAATTCTTTTTTCTTAAGCCTCATGAATATTCACCAGCATTTTAGTGTGGATTTCTTCTAATAAAACACCCTTTAATGCAGTTTTGACTAATATATACATTTTTGCAAGCAATTTCTCCTAGGAGATTGCATCTTGCATGTTATTTTCCCCAATGTATTAATTTTTATTGTCATTTTTCAATAATACACACATTTTTGGTAAACATTGTTTTGTTGGAGAACTGCACCACAAAATTCAGATAAACGTGAATTTCGAACGCTGACTGTGTCTTGGTTCTCGTATTGTTTGGGAAAGCGTGAATTTGATATCTTCTCCTTTAAATGTGAACTGAATCAAATTTCTTCCCCCATCCCTTATCTGGAAGTTACCTTATTGCTGAAAATGGAGGGGGGCTGTGAGAGAGAGAGACACCATGGATTTGGGTCCAAAATTGTAGCTCTAAATCCCAACATTCTGGTGATAATTCTGATAATTCTATAATGTGAATGAATGCACTTATAATCCATGCTTAAATGAGCAAGCACTATACATAGTCTTCTAATACCTACCTCCGTGCAACATTTTAATCTTTTCGCACCAAACCATGCATACAATACATCTTTTGCAAGTTTCTTTTAAATGAAAGTACAAAAGCAAAGCTACATGATACACTACACTTAGAAATTAACCAGTATGATTATATCAATGGATATTCCGGTAAATCCATTATTATCACAATATCTTACACAAGGAAGAGCTACATCTTTAAGAACTGAAACAGAGAATGCATAACAATGTCAGTCTTGATTCATGGAATATCATAAGGAACATTTTGTTGAACATGCCTGTTTCAATACATTATGAACTGATTGCAGGTTACAATGAAAAAGCAACAACCCTGTGTAATTCTTCTCTCTTTCCCTTTTACCTGACTAGATGGGCTACTTTGACCATAGGCACCCGTGATGGCCCTCCAGATGTTGTTCTTGGACTCTGACTCTCATCAACCCCAGCTGACATGGCCAATGGTCAGGAATGATGGCAGTTGTAGTCCAACAACCTCTGGAGAGCCAATGGTTCTGCTAAGACGAAAGTCCCCTTGAATTCAATGGGGTTTGCTCCCAGGTCAGTGGAGTTAGGGTCGCAGTCTTAGTCAGGATCCAGCCAGTGGACTCTGGCCCAAGTATGGAATTTCAGCAAGGTATTTGTTCTAGGACTTGACCTGGGGCATTACAGTCCATGTGATTGTGACAATAGTGTGTCTTAAAAACTCAACTGTGCAGATCAGTTTATTTTGCATGGCTGTAAAAGCAAATCAACAGGAAACTGCACTATTGATACCTAGCTTGTGTTGACACATTTGGATGTTGTTTGGCTGAGATGATCACTGGTGATGTAGCTCCATGGTGGACCATATGCTTTGCATGCAGAAGGTCTGGGAGTCTGGGAATGCCCATTGTCTGAAATCCTGGAGAGCCACTGCCAGCCAGTGTAGACAAAACTGAGTTGGATGGACAAATAGCATGATTCAATATAAGGCAACTTCTTATATTCCCGTATACTATAAAGAGGTACCTTCTGAACATCATCATCATCATCATCATCATCATCATCATCATCATCATACCTTTATTGTCAATGTACAACCTGTGTACAATGAAATTGACCGAGCCTCCCTCCCCACATACACTCAATCTCATTGCACTCTGTGTGCTTGTTGCACAACCCACCATCCCCGAAAGTCAGTTGCACTATATTATTTTCCATTCAGCAGCCTAACAGCCCATGGATAGAAACTGTTTTTTAGCCTGTTGGTACAACTGATTATACTTCTATATCTCCTGCCCGAGGGTAGAAGATTCAAGAGGTGCTGGCCGGGGTGTGAATTTTTCTCACTCTCCTAAGGCAACGATCCCTTGTGATGTCATCTAGTGGGCTCAGGGGACAGCCCATGATATCATGTGCTGTGTTCACCACCCTCTGTAAAGACTTTCTATCCGTGGCTGTCAAGCCAACGTACCACGCTGTGATACACTATGAGAGGACACTTTCTATTGTGGACCGGTAGAAGGAGGTCATCAATTGTTGTTTAACATTGTTCTTTCGCAAGACCCTGAGAAAATGGAGTCTCTGTTGGGCCTTCCTAACCACCTGAGTTACATTGTTTTTCCAAGTGAGGTCTTCACTAAGGTAAACTCCCAGGAATTTAAAGGAAGAGACTCTCTCCACAGAACCCCCCAATATACAATGGGGCTAGTTCCCCTCTCTTCCTCCGAAAGTCCAACACCATCTCCTTTGTCTTGCTAATATTTAGGTGCAAGTTATTCTCTAAGCATCATGTAGATACTTTTTGAACCTCTCCCCTGTACGCTGATTCATCTCCACCTGTAATTTGACCCATTATGGTAGTATCATCTGCAAACTTAATAATTACAGTGGATGGATCAGATGAAATACTGTCATATGTATACAACAAGTACATCAATTTGTCCTGTTGTCCACCACTTTGGAAACATTGCTTAGAATGCAGTTTAGAAATCTTTATAGAAAAGAACACTTTCCCTATATGGAACGGAAATAGACCAGTATTTCAAGCTATGTTAAGATGCTTCAGGAACTTAGGAAGTTGCCTTGTACTGAGTCAGACCATTGGTCTATCAAGCCCACTATCATCCACATTGATTGGCAGTGGCTCTCCAGCAGGGAATATTTCCCAGCCTTACCTGGAGATTCTGGGGACTGAACCCATGGCCTTCTTCATGCAAAGCCGGTGCTCTACCACTGAGCTACAGCCCTGGATGGCTTTCAAAGAGGACTGGGCAAATTCCTGCAAGCTAAGGTTGTCAGTGGCTACTAACCACTATTGCTATGCTGTACCTTCCTTGTCAGATGCCACACACCAGTTGTGGGAAACCACAGGAGGGGAGAGTGCCGCTGTGCTTGCTCCTCACAGCCTAGGACCCACGTACCTACGGGACCGCCTCTCCTGGTATGCCCCGTGGAGGACCTTAAGGTCCACAAATAACAACACTTTGGATGGCCCAAGCCTCAAGGAGATTAGATTGGTCTCAACTAGGGCCAGGGCCTTTTCAGCACTGGCCCCGACGTGGTGGAATGCTCTGTCACAAGAGACTAGGGCCCTGCGGGACTTGACATCTTTCCGCAGGGCCTACAAGACAGAGCTATTCTGCCTGGCCTTTGGTTTGGACTCAGTCTGACCCTTATGTTTCCCTCCCCTTATGGTCTTGAGGCTGCATTTTAAATAGCATTTTGACCTGCATTTTAAATTGCTTCCCCCCCTTCTCTTTTTCCCCTATAATGTTTTTACTGTGATTTTACTGATGTTAGCCACCCTGAGCCCGAATCTGGCCAGGGAGGGCGGGGTATAAATATTATTATTATTATTATTATTATTATTATTATTATTATCATCATCATCATCTGGTTGGCCACTGTGAGAACAGGATGATGGGCTGTTGGACGGACCGTTGACCTGATCCACAAGGCTCGCCTTCTGTTCCTATGTTCTTATACTTCTGCTCATCTTGCAATAAATCAGTGGGTTATAATCTCTGGTTAAGTAAGTTTAAAACCAGAATCTTCGACGTCTTTCACATCTGTAAGAGAACTGTCTTTTAAATAAATTCAAATAATGCATGCAATATTTCCCAACCATTGAAAAGCAGGAGTAACATTTCCTCTGTGGCTGTCATGCTTGATTCCATTTCATACTTTGATGTATTAATGGATGTCTCTTTAATGCACTGAAGATGTCCCGAGATTGTCGTTAATCATTGCTTTGGAGAAGGAATTGGCTTTGATTACACCTGCCCTCGTGATAACGTTTTGACTCATACTGCGTGTTCTGCAATGTCTCTTGAACAATGCACAAAAGCCGTTCTTAGAGGGAGGTTAAGAATTTAAACGTTTTAACTATAGATTTTTTGGGTGATGATATAATTGGAGGCATCAGGTCCTCTGCAGTGAAATTGCTTGCTTTGTCTCCGATGCTTTCCTCTTCACTTCCCTCTGTGAGTTACCTTTTACAAAACTGAAGCCGTAGGAACAACTCCTTGGGGGAAAGCTAGTTGACTTCGAGGGGTAATTTTGGATGTTAAGAAAACCTTAAGGGACCCCATTGAAACATTTGTCATGAACACAACACAAGTCTCTTTTAGATGACATCATAATGGCTATTATAGATGAGCACCAGCACCCATGGAATTGTTGATACTGAAGACAATAGATGCATGGAGAGCAAGCACCACGAAGAGAAGAAAAAACATACAGTTTTGGAGTTAGGTTAGTAGTTTTCAGCTTAGGAACACAGGAAAGTGCCTTATGCAATACAGTTATGGCAACGAGCTCTATGTGGGGCTGCCATTGAAGATGACTTGGGAACTTCAACCGGTCCAAAGTGCAGCAACCAGCTGAGGCTGCCTTTAGAACTCCTGTAACCCCTGTTGCAAAACAGCTGTATTGGCTGCCATTTTGTTTCCAGGTCCAGTCCAAGGTGCTCATGTTAAGTCACTAGAGCCTTAAATGACTTAGGCTCCCAATACCTGAAAGACCATCTCCTTCCCTCCCGGGTGTTAAGATCAGCAGAAGGGTTCCTCTTTGTTATGTACTGAGTTGAATAGGATCCAAACTGCAGCAGTCTGATTGGTCCTAGAACAATAGGATCCAAAATGCAGCAGTCTGATTGGTCCTAGAACAATAGGATTCAGAATGCAGCAGTCTGATTGGTCCTAGAACAATGCAGCAGTATGATTGGTTGGCAGGAACCACCCAATCATGCTTCAGATATAAGTGAATCCACAACCTGATTGGCTTACGGTAGAATTCCAGAATTAGCCAATCATGTGCAGCCCATTGTGTAAATAATGTATATAAAGCAGATACTTTGAGGGGACATTCATTCATTCCTCCTCACCACTATGAGCTGAATAAAGAGCATGAAATCACTTTGCGACTTTTCACTCTTGGTAGTTCCGCCTCCCTCAGACCTTCGAGTTATGGTGACCCCAGGACAGGGCCTGTTGCTATTATGGTTGTTGCTTCAGGAGAGGCTGCCAAGATGAACGATATGGTCACCATCTGAACAAGGAAGTTCATGACCAACATGCTGTTTCAGTGAAAGCAGAAGGTGACTGATTATGTTGAGCTGGCTTTGAATAAAAATTCACAAACTTTTTATTGATAATAATCAGCTAAATAGTTTGAGGATCTATACAACTGTGTAACATGCAATCAAAGACTGGAACTGAGGGAAGTCGGGGGGTGGGGGTGGGTGGGTTCTGTGGGGGGAGGGAGGAAAAATGGGGGGGGGAATAAGGATGGTATGTTTCTGGATAATATGTTTTGTTTTAATTTTGAATAAAAAAGTTATTTAAAAAAAAAAGATTATGTTGAGCCTGGATAGCTCATGGTGCTATCCAGCATGGTGCTGATAATGACAGGTTCAGTCCCCATATTGCAGGGACTTCCAACTCTCAATAGAGTGTGATCTACTCACAGTATTAAAAAAACTGGCAGTGGTCTACCCATTGTCGTAAAAAGACTGGCAGTGATCTGTCCAAAGTCGTGGAGCTTTTTTTAGGAAGCCAAAGTTGGGTTTTTTTGTTTTTTTGTTTTTTTGTAAGGAGATCACTGAGGGGCCAGAGGTCAACCAGGATCTACCAGAAACACCCCACGATGTACCAGTAGATCACGATCTACCTGTTGGACATGCCTGCCATATGGGACAGCTGCATATTCTTGCTTTGCAGGGGGTTGAACTCGATGATCCTCAGGGTCCCTTATAACTCTATGATTCTATGATGTTCTTCATCCTGGAAAGGCCACTGTCCCCCAGACTGAAATCCATGAAAAGGTTGGTGACCTAAGACAGAGCCTTCTGTGTGGCAGCCCCGAAGCTGTGGAATTCCTTTCTCACAGAGGTGTATCTGGCTCAGTGGCGTAGCGTGGGGGGTGCAGGGGGGGCTGGCCGCACCGGGCGCAACATCTGGGGGGCGCGCGCTCGCACTCGCAGCTCTCTGCCCCCTGCTAAAATCCACGGGTTAGGGGGCGCAAATTACTTGCCTTGCCCCGGGTGCTGACAACCCACGCTACGCCACTGATCTGGCTTCCTTGCTATACAACTTTTTGCAAATACTTAAGACACACACCTTTTTACCATGGCCTTTGACACCTGAGATGCGTGTTTTAATTGGTGAAGGGCAGATCATAATTTTGCTTTTTAAAAAGTTTTTATTTATACTTTTCAAATTTACAGATTTCATTAATTTTATAATCATTTTGGCATTTCAAAGTTTCACTTCCTTCCCCCCCTTTCTGCCATTCCTTAAATTTATTTTTTTATATCTTCCGCATATCCAAATTCATTTAATTTGCTCATTTAATTAACTACTTTTAATGTATACAGGTTAAACCACTGAGCCTAGGACTTGCCGATCAGAAGGTCAGCGGTTCCAATCCCCTCGACGGGGTGAGCTCCCGTTGCTCGGTCCCTGCTCCTGCCAACCTAGCAGTTTGAAAGCATGTCAAAGTGCAAGTAGATAAATAGGTACAGCTCTGGCGGGAAGGTAAACGGCGTTTCTGTGCGCTGCTCTGGGTCGCCAGAAGCGGCTTAGTCATGCTGGCCACATGACCCGGAAGCTGTACACCGGCTCCCTCGGCCAATAAAGCGAGATGAGTGCCGCAACCCCAGAGTTGGTCACGACTGGACCTAATGGTCAGGGGTCCCTTTACTTTTATATGAAACTGCAGGCTATTCCAATAATCCTGCCAATGCTTTTATCTGTTTGCAATTTATCTGTAAACATTCAATAAAGCATTTCCATTCTTTTTTAAAAAGTTTGTTATCTTGATTTCTTACTCTTCCAGTAAGTTTTGCCATTTCTGCATATCCCGTAAGTTTTTGTATCCATTCTTCCTTTGCTGGAACTTCTGCTTCTTTCCAATTTCGGGTGAGCAGCGTTCTTGCTGCTGTAGTAGCGTACATAAATAAATTTCTATACCAATTAGGTAGGTCATAATTCTGATGATAATGATGATACCTGAGTCAGACCATTGGTCCATCTAGCTCAGTATTATTCACATGGACTGGAAACAGCTATCCAGGGTTTCAGCCAGGGAATCTCAGCCAGCCCTACCTAGAGATGAGGGATATCGAACCTACAACCTTCAGCATGCAATGCAGATTCTCTACCACTGAGATATGGCTCTATGTGGCAAACCTCTTTCCTGATAGAAGGTGTAGTTAACAGACTTCCCAGGCGTCTTTGTGGGAAGCTATGGCTGTTTAATGTGGTATGATACTGCTTTAAATTCACAGTGAATATGGACTCTATGTTTTAAGATTTGCATTTGTACTTCCAGTGCCAGAGTTCTTGTTCTAATAAAGCCTTGTTGTTGTTGTTGTGTTGTTGTTGTTGTTTAGTCGTTTAGTTGTGTCCGACTCTTCGTGACCCCGTGGACCAGAGCACGCCAGGCGAACAATTCCCCCCCCAAAAGCTCAACATCTTTGAGTTCACTCCCCCTAAAAAAGGTCAAGGTCAACAACTTTGGCTTCCCCCTCCCCCAAAAAGCTTAAGTCTTCCACTGCCTCCCGCAGTTTGGTCAAACTCATGCTGGTAGCTTCGAGAACACTGTCCAACCATCTCGTCCTCTGTCGTCCCCTTCTCCTTGTGCCCTCCCATCTTTCCCAACATCAGGGTCTTTTCCAGGGAGTCTTCTCTTCTCATGAGGTGGCCAAAGTCTTGGAGCCTCAGCTTCAGGATCTGTCCTTCCTGTGAGCACCCAGGGCTGATTTCCTTAAGAATGGATCGGTTTGATCTTCTTGCAGTCCATGGGACTCTCTAGAGTCTCCTCCAGCACCATAATTCAAAAGCATCAATTCTTCGGCGATCAGCCTTCTTTATGGTCCAGCTCTCACTTCCATAATAAAGCCTATACGTTAATTAAAATCTGAGAAAATAAAGCTCATCATCCTGGCTGCTCTCCTTTAGCCGCACTTCAGTTTGTCACTGTCACAGTGGTGGCACACCTGCGTCTGGGTGATACCATTTCATACTGAGGGCAACAGGAAGCTCCTCCATAGAAGACTGTTCCCCACATGTAGAAAAGCAGCATGTCATGGGGGAAAAGGTTAAAACCAAAGCAGCCACAGGCTCGCTGCCTCAGCTGCAACTAGGCTTTGTGGGCTGTCTTTGCCCACAGTTCACAGTCTAAGCTTGATCAATCCTGCAGGACTGGGAAGAGTGACATTCAGCCTTCTTCCTTTCCGCATTTACTGATTTTGACGGTGCGATCTGTTGTGTGGAGCAGCACTTGGGGGTTATCCATGCAGATGGTTCCCCCCAGGGGCTCTATTAACTCTCCTGTAGAAGGCTGCCCAGGGAGATGGCACCTGGGCTTGGGCACGCCACTGGGGTTAATTGAGCCCTCTTGGCTGTGGAAGTAATTACCAACGCCACGAGTCCCTCATTACTCATCATTAGTTCTAGTTCGGGCCTACGAACCTCCTAGGACCATAAAATAGTTATTGCCACTGTTAATATCCTGTGGTGCTTCATGGCCTAAACATTCCCGACATGATTTACTAATAGGAAAGCAATAACTGCAGGCCAAACCGAGTCTCTGTATGGGGCAGCGACAAGAGTCTTCTGTCAAGGTTCATCTGGCTCCCTCAGCATTCGTTCTCTCTTGATTTTCTCAGAAGTGCTCGGAATTAAACCACCGTAGGTCCCCCTCCAGAGAAATCTCTTTGCAGAAATGCAAGATTAGGGTTCGGTGCAATCAGGTTATCAGTGAGACCGGCCCTAACATGAGGCAGAGTGAGGCAATAGCCCCAGGCAGCAGGTGCTGAGGGTAAGGATGGGGAAGATGTTATAAATACACTTCTTATTTAAAGGCAAACCAGCCTCATTTGCACTCCCCAGCAGAATTCAGGAACCAAAATGCATCCTTGGACCCAGAGGTCTCCAGTGCAGAAGAGCCAGGAACACCTGAAGCTCTTTTGCTGCATTGCAATAGGTGATTACCAGATAATGCTGGCCAGGGCCGTCTTTACCTGGGAGTGCAAGGGGTGCGGGGCACCCGGGCGCCAAATTCTGGGGGGCGCCAAATGTATACCTACTGTATACTGGTCCCTCTCGATCGGCGGCAGTGAAAAGCAATGGAGTGAAAGTCCCCCCCCCCCGTCACTCTGTTACTCTGTAGTATCAAATATTTCCGATGAGTCAGGAGACAAAAGCAGTTTTTTCAACAGCATCATCATTACAGGTGAACAATTCCCCGCCCCCCAAAAAAGCTCAACATCTTTGAGTTCGCTCCCCCTAAAAAAGGTCAACAACTTTGGCTTCCCCCTCCCCCAAAAAGCTTAATTTGGGGGCACCTAAACTAAACTTTCCCCAGTAGTGATGTATTGAAGTGAGAGCTGGACCATAAAGAAGGCTGATCGCCAAAGAATTGATGCTTTTGAATTATGGTGCTGGAGGAGACTCTTGAGAGTCCCATGGGCTGCAAGAAGATCAAACCTCTCCATTCTGAAGGAAATCAGCCCTGGGTGCTCACTGGAAGGACAGATCCTGGAGCTGAGGCTCCAATACTTTGGCCACCTCATGAGAAGAGAAGACTCCCTGGAAAAGACCCTGATGTTGGGAAGGATGGAGGGCACAAGGAGAAGGGGACGACAGAGGACGAGATGGCTGGACAGTGTTCTCAAAGCTACCAGCATGAGTTTGACCAAACTGCGGGAGGCAGTGGAAGACAGGAGTGCCTGGCGTGCTCTGGTCCATGGGGTCACGAAGAGTCGAACACGACTAAATGACTAAACAACAACAACAACAACAAACTAAACTAAATTTGGGGGCACTGGGTGGATCTTTGTAGCCCAGCAGCGCATATGCTAAAGATGGCCCTGATGCTGGCCCACTATCAGATCAGCAGCACTTTGCAGTACAGTGGTTAACAATTAGGTCACATCTGCTACCACTGCTACAGAAGGGCTTAGTTTCAGTTTGTTTGTTGCTAGAGCAACCTCTGAGCTCCATGTTGCCCAGAACCATGCCTTCTGCCAGGACCTCATCCCACCAGAACTTTGCCTTGCTTCATGCCCTGGTTGGGTCTCGCATTGCCATACTGCAGAGGGCCACTGATATTCGGAGTCATACTGGCTCTGACAAAGGAGAGTGTACATAGCTAGTAGCCTTATCACCCATCGATTTACTCTAATTCTCTTTGAAAGCCATTCTGGTTGGTGACCCTCTTGTAGTAGCAGATCTGAAAGTTTAACTCTGTGCTGCCTGAAGAAGTGTTTTCTTTGGCCTGCACCAAATCTTCAGCTTTGCGAGATGGTCTTGAGCTCCAACGTAAACAGTGTTGAGAGGGAAAGTGAAAATAAACTTTCTTCCATTCACTTTCTCAACACCTTGCCTAATTTTATACACCTCTCTCTCTCTTATATAGCTTCAGATTAAATATGTTGTTGTTGGGGGAGTTCCCAATTCTGCATACCTGGGTGATAGCTTGACTAGGCGAGATTAGCTTGGCCAACTCTGAAGACTTAAAAGGTGTGTGTGTTTCTTAAAAAAATATTTATACTTTTCAGATTTACACATTTCACTGATTTTACAATCATTTTAAAATTTCAAAACTTGACTTCCTTCCCCCTCTTTCTGTGGTTCCTTAAATTTATTTTTAATATCTTCTGCCTATCCAAATTAACTTAATTTGCTCAGTTATTCGTCTTCTTTAAATATAGGCACTTATATTTATTCCAATAATCCTGCCAATGTTTTTACCTGTTTACAATTTATCTGTAAATATTCAACAAACCATTTCCATTCTTTTATAAATAGTTTGTTATCTTGATTTCTTACTCTTCCCGCAAGTTTCGCCATTTCTGCATATTCCACAAGTTTTTGTATCTATTCTTCCTTTGCTGGGACTTCTTGACTTAAAATGTACATTCATAACTCAGAAGTCGAACGGAATCCGTTCCGGAAGTCCATTTGACTTCCAAAACGTTCGGAAACCAAGGCATGCCTTCCAATTGGCTGCCGGAAGCTCCTGCAGCCAATCGGAACCCTTGGAACCTGTGTTGGACGTTTGGGTTCCAAAGAACATTCGCAAACCGGAACACTCACTTCTGGGTTTGCGGCATTTAGGAGCCAAAAGTTTGAGTTGCAAGGCATTCGACTTCCGAGGTACGACTGTATTTGTTAAATGGAGTTACAGTGGTACCTCTGGTTGCGAATGGGATCCGTTCCGGAGCCCTGTTTGCAACATGAGCAGAACACAACCCGTGACTGAGCGTGTGCGGGTCGCGATTTGCCGTTTCTGTGCATGTGACGTCATTTTGAGCATCTGTGCATGCGCGAGCGGCGAAACCCGGAAGTAACCCTTTCGGGTAGTTCCGGGTCACCGCGGGTCGCAACCTGAAAAGATGTAACCTGAACCGAACGTAACAAGAGGTATGACTGTACTTTCATGGCCTGTGTAAAATAGCGCCCCCTGGCAGCCCCTGCAATACATAGCAGTCTGACAGCAATGCAAAGACATTTTACCATCCCACCATTCCAACACTGGATCCTAACCATCAGACTATCTAGATATCGGCAACACAGCACAATTATTTTGCCCTCATGACGGACTCTCATATAATTTAATGACTGGTTCCTTCTTTTTTATTTCCATTTATATGCACAATTGATCTTGCCAATCAATACCCCTCGGGGGCAAGGGACTCTCGACTCTGTCTGCCTGAATTTTAATTGTTAGCTGATGAGGACTATTTGGGAGTTTCGAGATGCAACATTATTTTCTGGTTCCTAAATCTGGCTCAGGATCAAAATCCATAGTGAGCAGCAAAGTAATTCCTCGGCAAGCCTCCCCCAAATCAAGTGAAATTAATCACATTAGGCTCCCCTTAGCTCTGCATCTCCAAATCTTGGTCTTACTCAAAGACACAAGGGTGATTGGAGCTTTGGGAAAGCTTGAGTATAGTCTCTTGGGTCACGGGTGAGAGATGGGCATCGCTGTCTTCTGGGTTGGTGAACACAGGCACAGCCCACTGAAAAGGCAGTAGCAGCTTAAACTAAGCATCCTAAGCTTGTGTTAGGTTAGTGCTGTTAATATTGCCTTCGATCCTCATGAACAGCACAGAATATTAATGCAAAGGTTTCCTGATACAGAGGCTCATTCTAGTATCATTGGATGGCGACAGCCATTTAGGAAGAAAAGACCCACCCTTCCTCCACTCCCCCCCTCTCTTTTGAAACCCTTTATTATTTTATTCACTTAATATACATTCTTTACAGCAAACAACTCCAAAATAAGCAGACAACTCCAAAATAAAATCATATGTAACAAAACCATAAGTCTCATGTTTTCATTTACACTGATCTCCTCTCTGATACCTTTACTTGATATTTCTTGTGACTTTCTGCTTTCCTTATAGAATCTTTATAAAAATTTAAATCTCTTAAATCCTATACCAATCTTTAACAATTTCAATTAATCCCTTCACCTCCCTCCCCCACAACCCAGTACTTCCCTCCACCTGTGTGCGATCTTCTTTACTTACTATTATTTTTGTTATTCTTGCGTTATTCACTTTATTTGTTATTCCATCCTTAATATATTATTATCCTATCTCCTTGCGCCTTTTAAACTTTTGCATATTAATTTTTAAGCTCCAGCACCAACTTTTTTCACGTATTCCTTAACGCATTCCCACTCTTTATTAATTTTCTGATTAGAGTAGCCTCTAATTGATGTTGTTAATTTTGCCATCTCCGTGAATTCAATAAATTTGGTTCTCCATTCTAATAATTCTGGTATTTTATCAGTTTTACAATTTTTTGCCACTATGATTCTGGCTGCCGTGGTTCCTCCACTTTCTGCTCCCCCTGCTAAGTGTGAGTATTATGGTATATACACAGGGATGGATTAACCATTAAGCAAAATAAGCATGTGCTTAGGACATCAAGGGAAGGGGGGGGTGCACCACAGAAATTTCCTCTTGCCAGATTTTTAACATTAATGGCCAGCAATTGCTCAGCTGAGTGTTCGTTTTCTCAGCCGAGGTATATTAAAAAACACCAGCAGAACAACTATGCAACAAGGCAGGCTGGGTGCCTTTTCTCTACTAAGTATAGTAGCAGATGTGTTATGCAAGATTAGGTTTGAGGACATGATCAAAGACTTTGCAATTGGAAAAAGTAGAATTCCCCCCCCCAATACAAATAAAGAGGAAGTATACAAAAATGCAAAAATAAACATGTTTTTCCATCTTACCGTAGGTTTTGTTTCATTTCAAAAAAATTAAAATTATTTTACGGTTCATTGTTGTTGATATTTTGAATTAGATATATATGGGACACCAAAAGTGTTTAGAGCCTCTAAAGATCTTAATTCATCTCTCTCTCTCTCTCTCTCTCTCTCTCTCTCTCTCTGTGTGTGTGTGTGTGTGAGAGAGAGAGAGAGAGAGAGAGAATACAACAAAACACCACCACCACAAACTGGCTTATAAGTATAAAACCAAATTTACTAGAATAATAGCTAGAATAGAGATAGACTTGTAACCATTCAAACAACAAACATACTAAGGTCAGGTAAGAGAGAGAGAAAACAATAACAACAACAACAGCTTGAATCCGGGACAGAAAGAAGCAGGGGGAATGATCTAAAAGATGGAATACACCTTTTGGAAGATTAAGGACAGACACATTAGCTGTCTTGAAATATAGGAAGGGTTGCCATGCAAAAGCTGGAAGTGACCTGTTCTTTGATGCTCCTGAAGGCAGGACTACAAGCGAAGGATGCAAACTGCACATTTCAGCTAAACTCCAGGAGAAACTTCCCAATACAAAGAACTGTTTTGACAGAGGAACAGGCAGCTTTGGAAGGCAATGTGCTCTCCTCTGCTGCAGGTATTTCAGCCACAGCTGGATGTTCATCTGACGTGGATGCTGGAATTGCAACCTGCCCTGTAGGTCCTGCCTTGAGCATGCATTGTGCCCTCCAGATGTTGGACTACAAGTCCCATCATCCATGACCACAGGTCATGCTGGCTGTGGCTGAGGGCAGCTGGAGTCCCTCAACATCTGGCGGGTCATAAGTCCCCCCCACCTCTGGTCTCTTACACTCACTACATGGTTTGCACGTCCAATGCACAATCATCACGTGAATAGTGCAAAGGTGAGACCAGGAGGCCCAACCATGCAAGAGGGAGGCATGTCCCATTATTTTCCATATGAAATGCAAACAAGGTCCAGTGAAAAAATGAATAGCTGAATGGTGTATGTGTGAAAATTGCATTTCTCATGCACTTTCATATTTTACACCAGGGATGGGGAACCTGTGACCTACAGAAAACAACTGCTTTATAATATGATCATGGGAAATCCAGAAAGTATAAAACAATGCAGCTATATAAGATGAATCATTCCCAAAATATAATTATAAAAGAGTCTCTTACATATGCACCTGCACGGCATAGTTCATAGCTTCTCTGAGTTATTCAAGCCCCTTCGCCACGGCAAGGCAGTGATCCATGAAGGCCAGAGACATCACATTGCCAACAAAGGTCCATATAGTTAAAGCTATGGTTTTCCCAGTAGTGATGTATGGAAGTGAGAGCTGGACAATAAAGAAGGCTGATCGCCGAAGAATTGATGCTTTTGAATTATGGTGCTGGAGGAGACTCTTGAGAGTCCCATGGACTGCAAGAAGATTCCTCCATTCTGAAGGTCCCTGAGTACTCACTGGAAAGACAGATCCTGAAGCTGAGGCTCCAATACTTTGGCCACCTCATGAAAAGAGAAGACTCCCTGGAAAAGACCCTGATGTTGGGAAAGATGGAGGGCACAAAGAGAAGGGGATGACAGAGGACGAGATGGTTGAACAGTGTTGTCGAAGCTACCAGCATGAGTTTGACCAAACTGTGGGAGGCAGTGGAAGACAGGAGTGCCTGGCGTGCTCTGGTCCATGGGGTCACGAAGAGTTGGACACGACTAAACGACTAAACAACAACAACAGCATATGTACCTTAAATACGTATGCAAACTCAGTGAGAGGTGTGAGCCTGCAGTATCACTTGATGCTCCTGCTCTCATTTTGTAATAATATCTATCCATATTCTGCAAATAAGTGCAATTGTTTTGATGCTAGCCTGCACGAACATGTTTAAATGTTTCTTTGATTCATCCTGCCACAGTTGCTCTCATCTCCTGCTACACCAGTGTGGCACCCGGTACCCTTTGAAAACCTCTGTTTTTGGCAATAAATAAATACATTTTAAAAAAATAAAATAAAAAACCCAGAGCAGTTGTACATAAAGAAATACTCTCAAGTTCTTCTGCATTTGTGTTTTATCTACATTGCCACCCAGTGGCGACTAGGAATATGGCTTTTGGGGGGGGGGGAGAAGATATTATGCTATATTCAGCAACACATGCTGTGATCATTCTGGGATGAAAAGTCACATTAGGATAAGCAGCTGTCCAAGCTGAAATCTTGCCTGCTGCTCCCATTTGCGTCCTTGCTTGCTGATCCAGCTACATCTTATTACAGACTCCAAATGGTGTGTTTTTCAGCAAGGAATTCATTTTTCTGGAAGAGAAAACTGATTTGAAATTGCAGGGTGGGCTGGGTGGGGGGAGTGACAGTAAAGTTTGAAAACTGCAATTTGATTATTGCAACCCCATTATTTTGAGCTTGCACCAGTGAACCTGATCTGGTCAGAGAGAGAGAGGAAGAGAAGGAGAAGAGGAGGAGGAGGAAGGCAGTGGTGTGTGCGTGACAGAAAATGGAAGAAACTGTGAAGGCTTTATATTTGCCATTAAACACTCACTGGGCATATGATAATTGGAGAGAAAATTGAATTTCATTGTTCTGCTTATTCACAGAGTGGACATTATATTAATAATGTTCTATTCCCCTTCCGGTCAGTTAAACAAGATGACCAGGAAAGACGCTGGAGTGAAACTAAAGATCTTGCAAAATGTGGGTGAAATGGTGATTTGGATAGGGGCCAGCAGTCCCCCAAGCCCATGCCAATTTGCTACCCATATGCCACTGAAGCTGGCCGGACAATGCAAAGCTGGAGACAGGATGCTCCCTTCCTGAAACATATGCTTCCTAGTCCTGAGTGCTGAGCAATTCCAGAAGACCATTCCTAAGCCACTGCCAACTATGGCAAAGGGCCATAGCTCAGTGGTAGATCTTCTGCCTGGTATGCAGAAGGTCTCAGGTTCAATCCTTGGCATCCCCAGTAGGGCTGGGAGAGAGAGCCCTGCCTGAAACCCTGGAGAAGCCTCTGCCAGTCAGTGTAGACAATAGTGGGCTAGATGGGAGATGACTCAGTACCACACCGTTTCCTAGGTGGTTTCAAGGGTCTCTGCCATACACTGAAAGGCTGGTGAATTTTGCATATGGACTTTTAAAATAAAAGATTGTCAAGTGATGTGGAAATGTGGGGAACTAAACTTAACAGTGGAAAACTGAGAAACGTAGGCCATATTCAAACCACAGGTGGATCTATATGCAGGAAGAAACCACTATAAATAAGTCTAAAATTAAATCGTTATAACAACAACAACAACAAAAAAACCCTATGTAAAAATGCTATAGAAAGGTTTTGTGCTCTCTGGTGCCGTCTGGTGTTGCATGTTTATAATGCATTCAAAAAGCTGTATTTTGACTAATGTAGCTGAGTCCCATATGATACCATGTTAGACAGTCATCATGGCTTCCCCCAAAGACTCCTGGGAGCTGTAGTTTGTTAAGGGTGCTGAGAGTTGTTAGGAGAGACCCCTATTCCCCTCAGACAGCTACAATTCCCAGAGTCGTTTAACAACCAACTCCTCTTTCCAAGGGAACTCTGGGAATTGTAGCTCTGCGAGGGGAATAGGGGGTCTCTCCTAGCAACTCTCAGCATACCCGTCCAAACATTCCTCAGATGAAAAAGGGGGCATTCTATTCTACATCAGTATCACTGCTCAAGCACAAAAGTTATTGGAGGAAACACAGAACTGCAGTATTTCAAGCACAGAAGTCTTTGAATTTATGTATTGCATTGAGGGAAGCCTGAGGGAAAAAGAAAACCCCAAATCAATAAGTACAACTGTGTGTGTGTGTGTGTGTGTGTGTGTGTGTGTGTGTGTGTAGACTATGCTGTGTCATCATGCATTTATAAGCATTTTGGGAGCATGGTAACTTTGAACAACCGTTAGTGTTGTGATGATGCAGGTATATGCCATGGGGTATCCAAGTGTTTATTTTGGGGTCCAGGGACATATAAAATGTTGAATTTGGGGATACATAAACGTCCTCCCCTTTTTAGTGTTTTAAACTTCTGAGCAAATCTGAGGTGAATCTTGGATGGTTCAGCTACACAGACAGCCCACAGGCACAGGGGTGAAAGAAGGGGGGCGGTCCACCCTGAGTGTCATCACTGAGGTGGGTGACACTCGGCACGCTGCCCAGCCGCGACTCCCAAGTCTACCCCGAGCCCTCGGGGGAAGGGGTGGAGCTGCGCCACCTTGCCAGCGGGCTACCCCTTTCCCCCTTTGTTTTGACAGCTTGGAGGAGGCTTGGGAGTTGCAGGCGGGCGTTGCCCCCTGCTCCTGGGCTGCTTCTGGGGGGGGGGAGCCTCCCCTGAGCTGTCAAAAGGAAGAGGGAAAGGAGGAAGACTGCCGGCAAAGAAGAAGAAGAAGAGTTTGGCTTTGATATCCCGCTTTATCATTACCTGAAGGAGTCTCAAAGCGGCTAACATTCTCCTTTCCCTTCCTCCCCCACAACAAAAACTCTGTGAGGTGAGTGAGGCTGAGAGACTTCAGAGAAGTGTGACTAGCCCAAGGTCACCCAGCAGCTGCATGTGGAGGAGTGGGGAATCGAACCTGGTTCACCAGATTACAAGACTACCGCTCTTAACCACTACATCACACTGGCTCTCAGCACGGCTCCTTCCTCCCTTGCCCAGGAAGTAGCCTGCCATGGGCTGCTCACTCCACCCCCCATAGATGGCTTGCTCTGCCCCCATGGGCGGTGCCCCCCAGGATGCTCACCGCAGGCGGTGCCCCTCTGGGATGCTGGCCCCGCCTCCATGGCCCCACCTCCGGGTCCCGGAATAGTTACGTAGCTCCACCTCTGCCCAGGCATCCCCTTCCTCAGCTGCCCGGGGACTCCCCTTCACTCAGATGCACAAAATGGGGATTTCAGATTTCAGAAGGCACTACGAATTCGGCTCATGGGAGAGATCAATGCCTTTTTTCCCCTGTCCACAGGAGAAGCCAGGCATGAAGGGGCTTTAGAGGGAGCTGGTTTTGCTCCAGAGGGAAACTGGGCAGGGACCTAAGAGGTTTGGATACAGAGCAGACCCTCCCCGTTGGGCACGATGTTTCTGAGCAGCTTGTAAGAGCGTACAAAGCAGAAGCCAAATTAGGTTGCTTCTTCTCTCTTTCCCTGGCCAGGAGATAGAAGGAGCAATGAATGAAAAGGTGGAGAAAAAAACGAGGGGCTTTTTTGTTGAGGGGTAGGAAAGGCTTGCATTTGGGAATTCAGAACTCTGCATGATGAAGTGAGAAGCTGGGGGGCCACTAGGGGCGCATTGGAAGATGGCCGACAATAACATTTCTCTGGCCCACACGAGGTAATTAAGAGGCTGTTATGGGAGTATGCAGCCTCCCTTGTTTCCCCAAGGAAATGGGGAACACTGCCCTTGCCTGCTGTGCCCATAAATCACCCCCGGACTCGAAAGAAGGGGGTGAGGGCACTAGGCAGAATGCCCTTGTGTGGACTCCGGTTCTCCTTGACGTTGTCTCTGATCACGCCACTAGCTGCAGCAACTTGAAATAAACAATTCGGAAGAAGCAAATGCACATATTTCAAGTGAAGAATGGGGAGTAAAGACTGCTATTTGAAGGGACCTCAGTGAAAGAAGACCGTCGGGTTGGATAAACAGGAATATATCATGAGAATATTCATCAAAGGCTGGTATGTCGGCAGCGGGACTGGATGGGGGGGGGAAACTTTTTTTCCTTTCTTCTATGTGATTACCCAATAATCCCCCCCCAACAAGTCAGAACCGTCGCTTAAAGGACCTAAGCTGGATGATTTAAGACTGTGTGGAAATGAATTCTAACCAAAAGCATGTTTTATGGAGATTGAGAAAAGTACAAGAGCTTCTGGGATGACGCAGCAAAAAATAGTGTCGCCATGTTGGCAAGTTCTGTCGAAAGATTTACGACCGGGAGGAGGAATGGATTTGTTTTCATACTGCTGGCGAACCTCCTCAAGACTAAGAAAGGCGACAGATTTGTGAAGATTAATGATGGTAGAGTGCTTTTATCTATGGAAGCGATGATATACGGAAACCATCTGGATATGATTTTTGGACGAATGGAAAAATTCACACAGGATTACAATTTGTCTTGACCTGCTTATGGAGACTATCAGAGGTCACAAAGAGAAAGGAAAAATATATGAAAATAACAAGACGAGATGTGGAAAACAACAAGAAAGGACATTATTGTGAATATTATTTGGACAGATTTGTGGACATTAAAGCAGTAGCAAGAAGATGATTGGATCCCCTTCGGAACTGGAAATATGGGTACCCCCAACAAAAATTTAAAATTCGGCTTTGTAATTTGGAATTTATGTGATGTGATTTGATTTGATTTGATTGGTCGGTTAATAAAAATTATTTTTTTTAAAAAAAAAATGGAGTGAGAAGCTGCAGTGGCTTAAGGGTTTTCGTGATGGTCTTGGCATTTTCAGGGCAGCTGGAGACTATATAACCAAACATCAGGAGATGACATCCAACATTTCTCCGATGTAAATAGGGAGGTCCTGTCATCATCATCATCATTACCCCACCCATCTGACTGGGATGTCCCAGGCACTCTGGGTAGCTTCCAACATATATAAAAACATAATAAAACTATGAATGGCTGCCTTTAGATGTATTCGTATCTCCTTGGCTTGAAATGCCTGTAACATTTCTCCAATGAAAATTGGGATGCGGGTGGCGCTGTGGCCACAGAGCCTAGGACTTGCTGATCAGAAGGTTGGCGGTTTGAATCCCCGCGACGGGGTGAGCTCCCGTTGTTTGGTCCCTGCTCCTGCCAATTTAGCAGTTCGAAAGCACGTCAAGTGCAAGTAGATAAATAGGTACCGCTCCGGCAGGAAGGTAAACGGCGTTTCTGTGTGCTGCTCAGGTTCGCCAGAAGCGGCTTAGTAATGCTGGCCACGTGACCCGGAAGCTGTACGCTGGCTCCCTCGGCCAATAAAGCGAGATGAGTGCCACAACCCCAGAGTCGGCCACAACTAGACCTAATGGTCAGGGGTCCCTTTACCTTTACCTAAGGAAAAGCGGGACATTCCAGGATCAAATCAGAAACTGGGATGGCTTCTGTAAATCCAGGACTGTCCCTGGACAATTGGGACACTTGAAGAGTCGGAGATGACAACCCTCTCGATGAGTTTATTCGTTTAAAGAATGAAAAAGGGAATTGGGATTCATTTCATACAACACCCCTAAAAAACTGGAAGGTTGGCTAAACTTCTGTGTCAACTCTATTTCCTTTGGTATTTAAGAAACAAAGCCTTGCTTGGCTGGTTTGCCTAGACATCCTTCTGCAATTTTGCTGTGCCTCTCAGCCATTTTCAACAGTGCAAATAGCGGTTTTATTATTTCAATATGTCACTTGCAAATAAGGTTTGCACAGCACGCCGGGCCCTATGGGGTGGATGCTTTGAAGTTGTTTACCTGGGGAAACACTCCATTATGGCTAAGACCCGCAGACCCTTGTAACTCCCACGAGCCTTGCTACTTTAGCTTTATGTTGATAGATTTGTTTTGTACATTTTCAAGAACCGTATCGGAACGGGGAACAAAACAGTGAAGCCCTCAAGTAATCCTAGTTATGTTTTGATGGTATTGGATGAATGGGATCAATGCGCAGCCCAAGTATATTTTCCTTCCCTGCCAGCTTGAATGTTTCAACACAGAGAACTTCTGTTGCTTAAATGACACAAGTTCTCCTCCCTCTCTCTTAATGCTAGAACATGTGGACATTCAAGGAAGCTGACTGCTGGAAGACTTAGGGCAGGTAAAAGAAAGTGCTTCTTCATGCAGCCCATAGTTGAACTGCACAACTTGCTCCCACAAGAGGCATTGATTGCCTCCATCTTGGATGGCTTTAAAAGAGGGTAGGATCATGTCTTCTCTTATTTTGCCTTGGGGCAGGGTCCTGCCTTCCCTTGTTT